TCCAGACCTCAGCCCGGAGACTCTCTCTCCAGACCTCAGCCAGATGCCTCTTTCTCCAGACCTCAGCCAGGAGACTCTCTCTCCAGACCTCAGCCTGGAGACTCTCTCTCCAGACTTCAGCCAGACAACCCTTTCCCCAGACCTTGGTCAGATGCCGCTTTCCCCACACCTCAGCCAGGAGACTGTCTCTCCAGACCTTAGCCAGACAACCCTTCCTCCAGACCTCAACCAGACAACCCATTCCCCAGAACTCAGTCAGATGCCCCTTTCCCCAGACCTCAGCCAGCCAACTCTCTCTCCAGACATCAGTCAGACAACCCTTCCTCCTGACCTCAGGAAGACATCACCTCCTCCAGACCTTGATCAGATATCCTATACTTCTGAATCTAGTCAGTTATTGCCTCTTCCAGAATTTGATCAGATTTTTCCTTATCCAGACCTCAGTCAAATGCCATCTCTTCCACCATCTTCTACACTAAATAACACTTTTATACCGAGGGAATTTAATCCACCGGTTGTAGTAGGCCTCAGTGGAGATGATGGAGATTACATTGAGATTATTCCAAGGCAGAAGAAAGAGAGCAGTGAAGAAGACTTGGCTAAATTTGATTACGTGACCTATGATGACCCTTACCAATCTGATATTAGGACAGACATCCACTCCTCCAGAAATCCTGACAACATTGCAGCATGGTACCTCCGCAGCACCAATGGAAACAGAAAATATTATTACATTGCTGCTGAAGAACTATCCTGGGATTATTCAAAATTTGCACAAAGGTTTGGCCAGGTTTCTCCTTTTATGTTCTTATTTTTCCACTACTGCTTAAAAAAAAGGAATTACAACAGTCCAAGGAGATAATTCTGGGCTAATCATACTAAGTATAATTTAGTTCCCCTATTGCAACTTGGCCTATACTATTTCCTTTGTCAATTCCAAGAATCAGCTTCTCTACTTTAGGTAACATGTGGACAATATAAGAACCATCACTATAAGAAGTCTGTGATATTCCATAGCTAAATAAGCCCCCACCTCTCTCTTCTTCTCTCACCACATGTTCCTACCCCCTCTTCTTGCTCCAATGCAGAGCCCAGACTATCCATAGCTATCTGCTTATCAATAGGATTTCATTGAAGTTGGCTTCAAATCCAAATTTGCTATGTAGAAATCTCCTTTTGCATTTGCTTGTTTACCAAAACATTTTAAATTGTTTTCTGATCAATGTAAAGTATGTAATATCTTGGTGAAGTTTAATTCACATCCCATGAGATTACAGTAGCAGAGGCCAAGGATATAAACTAGCTTAGAAACCAAAAGTAAGTTTATACCCTCAACTGAGGCAGTCATTAGATAATGATTTATCTCAATTTAAACTTGAGTTTTAACTTGGTTTATAGAATTTGCAATGAGTGCTCATTCTCTGCTAGGCATTGTGCTAAGTGCTGAGACTATAAAAGAGAAAATAAACACACATGACTCCTGCCCTTAGGGAACTTACGTCTAGTTGGGCAGGTAGATTTGAATCAAATGCTCACATAAATAAGTGTAAAATATAACCATAATAAAGACCAAGAAGGAAGGATATATATGGTGATATGAGAATTGGGGAATCTGACTCTGAAGAAGTGGCATCTGAGCTGAGATCCGAAGATGACTAGGAGTGACCTAGGCAGGAGGTGGAGAGGGGAGAGCATTCTTGACAAAGAGAACAGCATGATCAAGGCCCTGTGGAAGGAGGAAGCCCTGAAGCTGATGGCCTGGAGCTCAGGAAGAGGGTTGGTGGTGAGAAAGTATCTGGCAGCTCTGCAGAGACCAGATGCCACTAGGCTTTGTAGGCCATGGGAAGAATTCTGGGAAACACTTTAAAAGCTTTAAGCCATTCCTAGTTTACTGGAAGATGTCAGTTCCTTTCCTGGGTCTTGTTACTTTCATCTTTCAAATGAATGAGTTATACCAAATGGCCCCCAAGATCCTCTTCAGCTATAACATTTTAGGGTTTCAGCTACTCTTCAACCATTGAGTTGAAGGAGTTGATGCAATTTTGTCTAAGTGGCCTAACTTACAACAGAGAGTTTCTAAGGGATCCATATACATTTTTTAAAAATAATATTCAATTCAATTTTGCTTAAGGGTGGAAAGTCATATTAGGCTGGACTCTATATTCTGGAATGACAATATAGAGAAAGAAGAGAGAGAGGGACAGAGAGCAAGGCTTAGTCAACTAAAAATTCTGAGGGACATAGCGTGGTGACCATGCTTAAACTGTCTAAATGTAGCCCACGGCTTTTACAAAAGCTGTTACACTAATAAATTAAAAACCAAACTGTAATTAGAGTAAGCAAACACAGTGCATGATATAACTTACAGAAATTATTTCATTAATCTGATGCCTGACATTTCCATTTCTCTGTTAGTTTAAAATACTTTGTCCTATAACTTCCTATTTAAATGTAGCACCCATTACTATATGAGAATTACTAGTTTATCTGGGGATTTCTAAGCAAGGCCCTGAGGGTGTAAGATTTAGGGCCTTTCCAGAGTGAAAAGGGATAGAACTAGTTCCTTCAAAATCTTGTATCCTATTCTAGATATGCAACCCACATTTATGGCAAAGTTGTTTTGCTCATCCTCATGTGTTCTGTGAGACTGTACGCTATGCTTAGAGTCTGGAAGGATAAGGTTAGTAGGGTAAAAAGACTGGAAGGAAGGCAGAATGGGATTCTATGTCGATGGCTCATGGTGTATAACAATTACTGTGAGATTGATGGATGAGTTTTTGGCCTGTTTCCATAGGTTTGGGAAATTTAAGAGTCAGTAAGAAAATTTGATGTGCTCTAGGCCCAGACTGAGCTGGTGAACTACATGATGAATAATGGGATTTAGCAAAAGCAAATGCTAGAAGAGTGGCTACTTTCAGAGTATAAAACACCCATCCATCCAGTGGCCTTCACAGTGGCCTTCTAAGTCAGCTGACCATTGTCACCTAATAGTCCCAAGCCCTGACACTGTCCCATTGCATGGCTTTGTCTGCTTTTGATATTAAAATCTGCTGTTAATATATGATTGTATTTGTTTATTCATTAATGCATTAAACCAATATTTATTAAGTGCCTACTATGTGCCAAATAACTTGCTAGGCACTGGAAATAAAATCATGAGCGAACTAGTCACAATCCCTGACCTCATGGGCTTTCATTCTAGTGGCAGAGTCAGATAGTAATAGATAATCTCACAAATAAATGATATATAATTTACTATATATGCTACATAAATACTATAAGAATACTATAGGAATTTATTATACATACTATAGTAACACTACAGGAATATAAACGGATGTTATAGAAAGATTAGATCTAGTCTAAAGGAGCATAGGAGGACTTACCTAAGAAATGATATGTGAGCTGGGAGTTGAAGGGTATTTACTGGTTTGTGTTTTTAGTCATTTATATTTTTATTCATTTGTTCATCAAATATTTATTAAATATCTTCTCTATACTAGATACTATATTCAGAAACAGAGATAATTTCCTAAGTTCTTTGAATGATCTTTAATTTGTTCTTTTAAACAAACACTATTATTATCATTTCAGTGAAACGGATAATGGAGACACTGATGATGTTCGAGAAGACACCATATATAAGAAAGTAGTTTTTCGAAAGTACCTTGACAGCACTTTTACCAAACGTGATCCTCAGGGGGAGTATGAAGAGCATCTTGGCATTCTTGGTCCTGTTATTAGAGCTGAAGTGGATGATGTTATCCAAGTAAGTCATCTTTTGAGCATTGCTAAGATCATCAGAGGAATTTCCACAAGCACCAGAGGGTTGTAAAGGTAAAGGTGGCAAGAGAGCTATAGGTGATTTATTTATTTTCCAAAATTAACATATAAGTACATTTCTTTTCAAAGACTGTTTGCCAAGTAGTTTGAAAATCTTCAAAAAAATGATCTCATCATTTTCTTTCTCCCTCTGCTGAGCTCCTGTTCATTCTATAAGGGCCAATTCCATTTCCCCTAGGAAACTTGCTTTAATTCCCCCAACCTCTCCTTAAACATTCAACCAAATTGCTCCTCTTGGGCATTCCCATCCAATCCCATTCACACTTTGTTTACACACTTTTCGTCTCCAGATTTTTAATTTGAATTCACATGTGCATGTCTCTCTTCACCAGTAGGTTGAAAGCTTATTGTGAGCTTGGTTCAAGAACCAAGTCTCACTCATCTTCAAATCTGCAGCACCTCTCATTATCATTTCATTTGTAGATAATGTCAATACTTTTACTTTGAGCCTGAAAACAAACATGTTTTGGTGTTTCTGGCGTAAATTACTTGGGCCCTATCTCACAGGATGGTTGTAAAAATTAGATGAAATAATATACGTTACTTTGCAATCGTAAGCGTTCAGTATATCTTAGGTCTAATTTAATAACCATCCATTTTGGGGCCGGCCACGTGGCTTAGCAGTTAAGTGCACGTGCTCGGCTACTGGCGGCCCGGGTTCGGATCCCGGGCGCGCACCCACGCACAGCTTCTCCCGCCATGCTGAGGCCGCGTCCCACATACAGCAACTAGAAGGATGTGCAACTTTGACATACAACTACCTCCTGGGGCTTTGGAGGGAAAAAAAAAAAAGGAGGAGGATTGGCAATAGATGTTAGCTCAGAGCCGGTCTTCCTCAGCAAAAAGAGGAGGATTAGCATGGATGTTAGCTCAGGGCTGATCTTCCTCACAAAAAAAAATAAATAAAAAATAAAAAAATAAAAAATAAAATAAAATAAATAATAACCATCCATTTTGGCCTGTAAGGCTGACATTTTTTGGTTTGGATTTTCATTAAGCTTAAGTACATTTGTGGATCATTCTTTTTCTAGGTTCGTTTTAAAAATTTAGCATCCAGACCGTACTCTCTTCATGCCCATGGGCTTTCCTATGAAAAATCATCAGAGGGAAAGACTTATGAAGATGACTCTCCTGAATGGTTTAAGGAGGATAATGCTGTCCAACCAAACAGCAGTTACACGTATGTGTGGCATGCCACCGAGCGATCGGGGCCAGAAAGTCCTGGCTCTGCCTGTCGCGCTTGGGCCTACTACTCAGCAGTGAACCCGGTAGGTGCATCCATCGAAAGTTTTTGTCATTCACCTAACCTTATAACCTGAGTCCACCAAAGGAAAGGTCAAGATTATTTCTTGTTAAATGTCTGTCTTGCTTTCCCCGAGGAATGTGTAAGGATTGTTGTCAATGGTCTACAGCTACTATGACCAGGGACTCTCCAAGCAGATCTTCAGATGACAGTGAGAGAGAAATGTTTGTTCAGTGGAGAGGAGTGAGGATTATTTAAATGGTCGGCCCCAGTTAGATTTAGAGTGACTGCCTTTACAGAGGAAGGTGTTTATTTGCAATTTCCTTGAACGAGTATTAGCTTTCTTCTGCTCTTTTTTTATGAAAGAACTGCAAAGTCATGACTCCTTCATTTCGGGCATCATAGAGAGAGCACAGACTTAGATTTCAGTTCCTATCCTGTCATTTACTGTGTGGCCTTAGGAAAGTTATTTGATCGCGCTTGGCCTCAGTTTCCAAAGTTAAAAATGAGATAACCGTACATGGCATATAGTATACACTTGGTAATATTTGTTTAACAAATGAATTTATTTTTGCCATGTAGGGTTTTTGTCAGAATTAAATAGGATACTGTAGGCAAAATATTTAATATAGTAGTAGATGCTCAATAAATAGCATTTATTATAGTATCAACATTATTATCATCATCATTATCATTACTACCACATTGAGATAAAGGATTAATCAGAGGAAAGGAATATGAGTACCACAGAATTAGATGATAAATATCCAGGCTTATTTAACTATTCATTTATAATCTTCAAATTCAAAGCTTCTAAGAAGGTTTCCTTTTCTATATGATCAGTGATTGTCAGAAAAGCAATCCTGAGAAGAGGGAATATGTGCAGTTTGCTCTTACTGTCTTCCAGGAGAAAGATATCCATTCGGGCTTGGTAGGTCCCCTTCTGATCTGCCAAAAAGGAACACTTCATAAGGAGAGCAACATGCCTGTGGACATGAGAGAATTTGTCTTACTTTTTATGGTCTTTGATGAAAAGAAGAGCTGGTACTATGAAAAGAAGCCCAAAAGGTCTTGGCGTCTCACATCCTCAGAAGTAAAAAACTCCCATATGTTTCATGGTATTTTCCTCTGACTTTGATCTAATCTCTGAACTAAATCACACTGGGTGACAGTGAATCCTGCCTCTAGGTCTTCACAAGATTAGACATGAGATGCTTCTGAGGAACCATGAGCTATGACTAAAACCGGGTCCTTAAATATCTCAGAGTGCTGATGTGACCTGGCAGGTGCTGGAGAGCAGAGAGTCTGAAAGATAGCACACGGAGGCCACTGCAAAACAAACCCAGACAAACCAACCAGCAAAAAAGCCACTGTGCCACAGTTGGTAACATAAATTGGCAGGGAATTAGCATTATTCCTCAATTTATATGGTTAATAAATCTATTTCTTGATCTCTAAAGGAACAATTATTTATACGGAAGTGATCACCCATGTGTACTTTCTCAAATAAGAGTGACTGTAACAGTTCTAGTTCTCAGCAGTTCCCAGGTAGCATCCAAAGCACATGAGAACAAAGTGAGATAGGAAACCGGCTAGTTAGGTAATGGGAGAAGAGTGGCAAGAGAGCATTTGGGTGGAAAAGTGGGACAAGCACACCTACTCTGAAATCCATTCAGGGATTTTGTCTGTAAATTATTGACTGAATTACAAACAGTTTAAGAGAAAGGCAGAATTTAGGATTTGGTGAACAACAAAGGAATGACTTGGGGATCAGAAAAAAAATAAAGACTAATAAGCCCTGTTTTCAGAGTTTGATGAATGGAGGTGATTTCTGATCAGGAAGGACCTGTGCTTTGGGTAATGGGTCAGTCCTTCAGTTAATAGGGAAGGAGAAAGTTGCTCTCGCTTAAGGAATAAAAAAAGGCTTACTGTATACAACATCCCATTCACTGCCATCTCCACCCCAGCCAGTCGTCAAGGCTAAATAGGTCTATTCTCCCTCCTCCAGGCCATTTACACACTCAGGCTACCCTTTTTTTTTTACCTTATTTTCCTCATTAAACTACTATTCATGTAGAATATAATCTGACCTTACCTGTAAAAAAAACTTTGGGATAGAGGAAGGCAAGCAATATGATTTATGATCTGCTCTAAAACCCCACCCTCTGGATTCTTGCTTATCACACCAGGTTAAAACGATTCTATTAAGCAGTCTAGAATCGAGTCTGTTGAGAGCTGACCAATAGACTCTGAGCAGAGCTTTATTTTCTCTTCTCCCACGATCTCTAGGATTTTCAGCTCAGGGAGCTTGGTCTCAGGAGTGGGAAGCACACCCTTCTGACAACCTCTCAATCTAGCAGGCTGCAGAATCAGATAGACCTGTCTCTTGACTATCCCCTTTACCTGCTGAGCACCCTTGACACACGGCTTCCTCCTTCCTCAAAGAAAGAGTAAAATGCATCCAGTATAGTTTTAGTTTTAAATGGATTGTAGTCTAAATCTCTGTAATTTGGTAACCCCCATGGTATAGTATTTATCAGGGTATTTGATAAGCAGACCACCTGAGTCCCCAGCCTTCAGCTCAGTGCCAGTATGCAGTATGTGCTCAGCAAATATGTGTTGAATTAGTGAGTAAATGAGTGAATTCTATCACTCAGTGCAATTTATCAAATGTTTACTGAGCCAATGCTATGTTGAGACTCTTCACTTCCACATCCTGATGTAATGGTTTAGCAATGCTGACCTAATAACACTAGAGACCTTTTCACTTTTAAGAGATCTATTGCTTACACAGAAACTAGGATGGAGGGGGTAAGGGCTCAACTCCTCTCCTGGTTGCCTGGTTCCTGAAATTCCACAGCAGTTCCTTTAACTTGAGAAGGAAAAAAGCAACTTCCCTCACTTCAGTCTCAGTTAAATGCACGGCAGCACAAAGCTTTATCCTTAAAATTTTGTATTATTTTTTAAGGTGATCAAATTTACCAGGTGCTTTAAAAACACATACACATATTTAACTGAGGGGAGAGTGGATAAAGCCTGAGAACCCTAGACATTTAAGCTGAGAAGGGGGCAGAGGAGCTATCACATGAATGAGAGAATAAATATGAATCTCTATGGTGAGTGGGGACACCAAAGAGAAAGTCAGACTTCCTAATTTTGCCTGAAACTATCTCTGAATTTAGGGAGCCTTAGGGTGACATGTGCATATCCTCTTACTTACTCTCTTTCCTCTAACCACTGGAGCGTACTTATCTGGCTCATTTTAGTCTTTATCTTTTTGTAGAAAAGGAAAATTCGTACTACAAATGTAAAGGATAAATGGGTAAAGCACAGAGCAGAAGTGTAAAGTCTGGCGGAAGAGTGACAAACTGTTTGGAAAGGGAGCTCACCCACACTTCTGCTGTAGGCTGGTGTGAGAAGCAGCTGGTGGTTCTGTTTGAGCCTCTCACTGATATTATGACATATAGGGGGAACCTTACTATGCCCGGGTGGGCCTGGGCATGCAGAGTAATAAGGAAGACAGGTGGTGAGTGGGATTCCTTGTATTTCCTTACCAGCCTCTTTCCTGGTGTACACAGATTTTTAATTGATTGCAACTCTCTGTTATTTTAGCCATTAATGGGATGATCTACAACTTGCCTGGCCTAAGAATGTACGAGCAAGAGTGGGTGAGGTTGCATCTGCTGAACATGGGCGGCTCCCGAGACATTCACGTGGTTCACTTTCATGGCCAGACCTTGCTGGAAAATGGCACTCAACAGCACCAGTTAGGGGTCTGGCCCCTTCTCCCTGGTAAAGATTTGGGCAATAAAAAGAGGTCTCTGTTAAAAAATGGCAAGAGAAGGCAATCTTAGCATCTGTAACTCTCCCTCATTCTCTCCTTGTGCATTCATTGCCTAAGGGGTCAAGCTTGGATTCTGGCATAGATCCTAGGCAAAGCCTATTCCAAAACTGCATACAGAGTACAAAGAAGTCAGCTAATGTATGCACTGTTTGCAGCACCACACAGGCTAAATGTGCGGCCCAACTTGGTTCTACAGAGATGCTATTTCTAATGCAGGTTCTTCCAAGCCATTGTGTGTCACAAAGGCCAGGTCTTCAGCAGATTACGCAATGAATCCCACAGGCCTCAGGCAGCTAAAGCTTTCTGTTGGGAGAGAAATCAGAAATTTACCAGGGTTTCGGGATTCTTGAATTCTTGAATTCTATACCTCACTCTATCACTCTGATACGTCGGTCAAGTGACTATAGGACTCTTAATCTTAAACTGACTCATGAGGCTGTTTGGAGGAAAAAAATATATTTTTTAATGATTGTAAAAGCTAAAGAATAACAAAGGCATTTAGAGCTTTTCATGTACAAAATAATAATAAGATTTAAACAAACTACAATCATCACAGAGGATTTTTATGTGCCAATGAGTTGTTTGTAGGTGTATCTGTGTGTGTCATAGGTGTGTGAGTGGAGGTGTGAGTGCCCGATGCCATTGATTCTCAAACAGTAATGGGCATCATAAAAACCTAGGAGTCTGGTTAAAATGCAGATGCTAAGGCAGAGGTTTTGCTCCCAGAGACTTTGATCTGGTAGATCTAGGGCAGGGGCCCAGGAGTCTGCATTTTCAACAAGCAGCCTACCCTCCACAAATGCTATCTGAGAAGCTAGTGAAGGCTGTCCCTTGACAGGAATTTGGGTGGGGAAGTTGCTGTTGAGTCAGGCTCAGATGTAGGCACAGACGTCCCAATGGGCCTGGTTTGGTTAAGGGTAGGGGAAAAGAGGGTTCTTGTTCATTGTAAACATGCCAGTGACTCACTAAGTTATAAAGACCCATTCCATTAAGATCAGGGACAGAAGGAATTAGGTCAAACTCACTCCTTACTTTTCACCAGGTGTTGCCAGATCAGTCGTCCTTTCCATGAGCCTGCGAGAAGCACTGAGAAGCTGGGATTGGCTGTCGCATCTAAATCTTCAAACCTAAATATCTGCATTGGAAAGTGGAAGGCTGGAGATCATTTTTAGTGTGTTTGAGGAGGATGACCATCAGCTATTAAAATTTTTTACTCATAGTATGGGAAACAGTCACAAGTTATAGTCAGCAGAATTTAAGTATTAACTGGCAGTGAGTAACATTAAATACCGGAAGAGATAATCAGAGGTTTCAGAAATCTCATTTTTTCAGTGATTTTCTGAAACAACTTATGTACATCTCTATCCAAAGATGCAAAGTTCACAGAAAATTCAAAACACGGGAGACGGATGTTTTATTTTAATTTTCTTATATAAAAAAGAAAAACTAGTAAAATGAAGAGAAAGAAAGGAAATATGTACAATATTTTTGAGGCCCAGTGATGGGTCATTCAAGGTTGCTTTGATACTTAGAACTATGAAGCTATATTGTGTATGGGTTAACTTTTAACATTATATTTAATGAAAGTTCCTTTCTAATAAGGGGTGTTGGAGATTTTTTTAAGTCCTGGGGCAATTTATTTTTAGTCATGTGTGTGTGTTGTTGTTTTGATCTGTGTGTTACACCTCTAGTCCTGATTAAATAGAAATGGATAACTCTTAAGTTCTATTCTAAAGCCTCTTATTTTAGGATTCTTTGATAGCTGTCAACCAGTATTAACTTGTTAATCTTTGGGTCTGTAATGTTGTCCTTCACTCCCTATTTTAGGTTCATTTAAAACTCTTGAAATGAAGCCGTCAAAAGCTGGCTGGTGGCTCCTAGATACAGAGGTCGGAGAAAACCAGAGAGCAGGGATGCAAACGCCATTTCTCATCGTAGACAGAGGTATCATCCAAGCGCCACATGATATTTTTAGCAGGAGAGTGCCTGCTACTAGAACATGACCAACCTTTAGACTAGAAATATTCAACTCTGAGAACTCTGACATGACTGAGGCATAGTCTGTAGCAGTTATTGCTTTCATTGTGACCCATGGTCTGATTATATTGCAAACATCAGTCATCTAAACCAAATGGTTCAACCCAAAGACATTCCTCTCAATTGGGGAACTAAAATAAAGCATCATCTTTCATGATTTCTGATCCATGGGAAAATGTATGTAAGAAATTCTCCAGACTCCTATAGTAGAGGAAAGAAAAGATACTAGGAATTCAGCAATGACTGAGATAGTCACTGAACTTGGCATTTCACTATTGTAGAAACATATTTTCCATCTGTCCGTCCATCCATCCATCCAGCCAGCCAGCATTTATTAAGTACCTGTTGAGTACCAAGCACTGTGTCAACATCCAGATAGCTCCATGGCTGGTATTCCCTTCTGTGATCATGATGTAAATAACCCTATAACTTTCAGGTCAACTTTTGAGAACATAGTCTTTATGAGGGACAGTACTCAATGTTGTAAAATGCCTTATTTTAAGATATAAGCAGATGGAAATCAGTTTAAAAACTAATTGCATTTCAAGATTTCAGTTGTTTTCCTGTATGGTGGCACTATTTTTATTAAAGCACCAGTCTTGCTAGTGCATTTACCATTTTATGATCAGACATATTTAAGTCAGTGCCACACAAGGTGGGTGCAAATATCTAATTATTGACCTACAGACATATAATCTCTAGCCATGGAGCTTTTAATTTGTTACATGTATTTTCTAAGCAATAATTATTCATTGTTCTGTTTTTTTGTAGAATGTAAGATGCCAATGGGACTAAGCACTGGTATCGTAGCTGATTCACAGATCAAGGCTTCTGAGTACATGAGTAAGTAGTAGCATCATAGCCTGTGGAAGGCACCTCCTGTAATTGCGCAGTATACAGCCTGCAAAACCACACATGACTTCCTTGTCTATTGACTGTATGCGTCATTGCTCCCCTTCAGGCTTTTCTCCACCACAACACAGTAAGCAACTCCATTTGGGGCTTATCTGGTAGAGGAAGGAGCAGTATGGCAGGAACTAAAAGCCCATTGGCACTCCCTTATCACTGCCACCCCTTCTAGTGGATGATGTTCCCAAAGAGTCTTTCCCAGGGAAGACCAAGGGCTGGGGGTGCTTGGTTTCTCTACACAGGCAGTCCAACTTCTCAGCAGAGATTGGGCAAGGAATGAATGGCTTACTCTTATGACCCTGAGTCCCTTTCCAAAATTCTCCCCATTCATCTGCATTCTGAGTTTGATCACACATGTAATATTCCAGCCAGATTCACAGGGTCTTATTGGCCAGGCATTATAGTTCCCATTACTAGGGCCCTTTACTGCGTCAACCATTCATCTATTCAAGAAACTTTGTTGATCCCCTACCATGTGTCAGGAAATCCTCCTGAATTTCCTCATTCTGCCTCAAAGCCCTTCCCAAGATCAAGAGGTCAATTACAAGGCATCATGAGGATCCCATAAATCCCTCCCATGTCTTCCTGTTAGGCTGGCACACTCAGCAGCAACCACATCAACTTAACTGAGAAAAGATAAACATGACCTATATGCAAGAAAGGGCAGGGGTGGTGGTTGACAACTCACCAAGCACAGACCTGAAGCCAAGATTTCATCATCACGGACTGACTTAGTAGGTAAGGCCTAGGTCAACTGCCTCGTCTCCTAACTGCAACAGAAGGTCCTCCAGGGATCTTGTTTTCCACTGGGACTAAACTCACTTGAGAAACTACTTGTATGTTTTTTAAATATTCAGAATAAATTTTTTTCTTCCTTTGGATTTAGGTTATTGGGAGCCCAAATTAGCAAGATTAAACAATGGTGGATCATATAATGCTTGGATCTCAGAAAAACTTTCAACAAAATTTGACTCTAAACCTTGGATCCAGGTATGTCTTATTAACCTGATATTTACTGCTACTGTAATAATAAAAATGACAGTAATTTAATAATTTCTTCTTATTGTTCTTACAATATTGTTAGGAAAATAGCAATTACTAGGTGTTAGGCACTATTCTAAGTACATACTCAAAATGAACCCTATGAGGTTACTTCTAGTAATATCTCATTTTATAGATGAAAACACTAAAGCACAGAGGGATTAACTAACTTCCCAAAGCCACACACAGCTAGTTAGTGATGGAGCTTGGATTCAAGTCCGGATATTCTGTGCTCAAATATGGATTGCCTCTAGCCATTTTATTAGTTTCCTAAGGCCTTAGGTGCTGGCTCTTTAGTTCTAAAGAAAGCTGGTTGTACAATGAATTAAGGCAGTGTGTGACTTGTTGACAAGGACTGTTCTTTTTAATGGCTTTGCTATATTGCAGGTGGACATGCAAAGGGAAGTCCTATTCACAGGGATCCAGACCCAAGGCGCCAAACAATACCTGAAGTCCTACTACACCACTGAGTTCTACGTGGCCTACAGCTCTGACCAGACAAACTGGCAGATCTTCAAAGGGAACAGCACAAGGAATGTGATGGTCTGTGTGCATGTTTCTTTGCGAGTCCCAAGACTCAGCCTAAAGTTACCATGATTATGTCTTTTTTAAAAATACCTTTCTGAGGGGCCGGCCCCGTGGCTTAGCGGTTAAGTGCACGCGCTCTGCTACTGGCGGCCCGGGTTCGGATCCCGGGCGCGCACCAATGCACTGCTTCTCCGGCCATGCTGAGGCCACGTCCCACATACAGCAACTAGAAGGATGTGCAGCTATGACATACAACTATCTACTGGGGCTTTGGGGGAAAAATAAATAAATAAAAATTTAAAAAAATAAATAAAAAAAATAAAAATACCTTTCTGGGCCAGCCCCAGTGGCGTAGTGGTTAAGTATAGCACGCTCTGCTTCGGCGGCCTGGGTTCAGTTTCCTGGAGTGGACCTACACCACTTGTAGCCATACTAGGGTGGTGACCACATCCAAAATGGAGGAAGATTGGCAATAGATGTTAGCTCAGGGCGAATCTTCCTCAGCACACACACAAAAAATACCTTTCTGGGTGTTAGAAATATGAATGGCTTTCTTAGGGTCTTATGGAGAAATGTGGTAATATGATGCCTCTGTATATTACAAATTAAAGGGATAAGCCTGACTTCTGAAACTTCAAAACCTCACAAAACTTGAAAAAAATCACTTTATCATCAAACTAAATACCTAGACTTCTCAGATTGGCAGATGGTGCACAGAAGAGAAAAATACTTAGTCTTGTGCCTTAAAGAGCACAAAGTGGCCACCAAGAGTTTTCATTTTACAGGAGCCGGCCTGGTGGCACAAGTGGTTAAGTGCGCCTGCTCTGCTGCGGCTGCCTGGGGTTTCCCGGTTCGGATCCTGGGCACGCACCAACGCACTGCTTGTCAAGTCATACTGTGGCGGTGTCCCATATAAAGTGGAGGAAGATGGGCACGGATGTTAGCCCAGGGCCAGTCTTCCTCAGCAAAAAAAAAAGAGGAGGATTGGCAGATGTTAGCACAGGGCTGATCTTCCTCACACACACACAAAAAAACCAGTTTTCATTTTACTAACTTTTCCATTTTATTTCATTCTTTATTCCACTGTATCTGAAGGGAATAGTAATGTTAATGCCAGTAACGTTCTGAGGCAGTGTGATTTCAGACATTTTTTTGCTGCCGTGCCTGAGGAGTGACATTCGCCTGCTGGATCTTCCAAGGGCTCAGCCAGGCTTATAACCAATGACCCAACTGTATCAGCCCTAACTCTTTCCCTCCTCCCCTGTCCCCCTTTCCCAAGAAAGCTATCTGAATGCAAGGAGTCAGTCGGCATTATTATACTGGAATCTGTTTCATTTTTTCTGTAAATCGTTTACTATTTTTATATTATCACATTTAGCTATTGCTAGTAATAAATTATTGGCACTAGACCTTAGAACAGATCATGAAATCTTAAATTATGGTTCTTACTAATCAGTATTGGAGAGAGAACACAGATTACAGTTAGAGTCCATAGCTTAAAGATTTTTGCATCTATATTCATGAGGGATATTGGTGTGTAGTTTTATTTTCTTGTACTGTCTTTTTCTGGTTTTGATATCAGAGTAATACTAGCTTCATAAAATAAATTGGGAAGCATGCTCTTCTATTCTATTTTCTGGAATAGATTGTCTAGAATTGGTGTTAGTTCTTTAAACATTTGGTAAAATTCACCAGTGAAACCATGTGGGCCGGGAGATTTCTTTTCTGGGAATTTTAAAATTACAAATTCAATTTCTTTAATAGTTACAGGCTATTGAAATTATCTATTTCATATTGAGTGAGTTGGGACAGTCTGGGTTTTTCAAGAAATTGATCCATTTCTTCTAAGTTTTTAAATTTATGTGTATAGGATTGTTTGTAGTATTCCCTTATCATCCTTTTGATGTCTACAGAGTCTGTAGTGATATTGCCTATTTTATTTCTGATACTGGTAATTTGCATCTCTTCTCTTCTTGCTTTATCAGTCTTGCTAGAGATTTGCCAATTTTTTTTATCTTCTCAAAGAACTGGCTCTTTGTTTCATTGCTTTTATCTATTGCTTTTCTGTTTTCAATCTTACTGATGTCTGCTCTTATCTTCTGTTTTAGCTGGCTCTTTTGACGCTATTCTGGCAGGGAAAGTGGATGGGGCACAGCCTCATTACTGCCAGGTGGAGGTTTAAATCCAGGTTTCCCACTCAGCCTCTTCCATTGACACCTGACGGGGGATTGCTCCTCTTTGCTGCTGGATGGGGATGGGATAGTCTCCACTGACACTAAAGGGAGCCTTATTAGGAACTGGAGGGGATGAAAGTCCTAGGACTCTGTTTGGCCTTCTCTGACACAACCCCAGTGAGGGTGTGGGGGTTCCTTGTTAGAGTCGCATGAGCATGGAAGTCTAGGTCTCCCCCCTTGGCCTTTGCTGCTGTGGTGCAGGAGGGGCCACAGTGTTTTCTGTGGTGTTTGGCTTGAAGTAGAGCAATTATTGTCTAGAAGTTTTCTGTCTTGCTGGGCTGCCCTTGCCTGATCCTGAGGCTAGAGAAAGCAGGCTTTTGCTAGGGCTTTTTTTGTCTGTATCCATTGGTGTTTCTTGATTGCTGGCTCCTTCACTTCCAAGTCTGGGATATATGAGGTAAAAAGAAAACCCAGGAACCCACTACCATATTGTTCCTTGGGCCCCAAGAACCCTAGCAGCCTGCCTTCTTCTCTCCACCTTTCAGAGTCTTCTTATGTTTTCAGTTGTACTTAGCAAGCAGAATAGGGCAAAGTACATCTACTCCATCTTCCTGAAGCGCAAGTAGCCCCAATTATTTTTTAAGACCAAATTGATTTGGTTAAGACCACATGAAAACATATATAATATTAAATTAGACCAAAATTTTATTATAAAATCACTTTATAAAAAATTGTTACATAACTAAGCTTTCCTCTTTTCCTCTAGTATTTTGATGGCAATTCAGATGCCTCTACAATAAAAGAGAATCAGTTTGACCCACCTATTATGGCTAGATATATTAGGATCTCTCCAACTAGATCCTATAACAGACCTGCCCTTCGATTGGAGCTGCAAGGTTGTGAGGTTAACGGTAAGGAACAAAGATACATTATTTTCTCGCTGCCACTCAGAGAATCAAGATTTGGGAGGTATGGGAGAATGGATAGGATTTTTAGTTATCTTCAATCACTTAGGCTCCTAGAAAACCTTTTGTGAAGCAGAGGTTCCATTCAGGTAAACTCTCATTGTGACCTAGACCGAGACTGGTTCTACCAGCCAGAGAGCAGGCACCATCTCTCTGAACAGTGCCTGGATGATATGGACACTACCCTGACCCTCCAAGGAAGAGCCCTATCTTAGAATGACCTCCAACAGTCCATTTTCAGTAAGAACTGAGATTCAAACTAGGTCTGACTCTTCCAGAGTCCCCCAGGTCACTCAGACTTTGATGCAATGAAAGTATATAGCAACATTACTGGTGTATATTGGTTGCTAAATGAATGTTTTTGAAATATAAATCTGCTTCCCAACTTCCTGAAACCTTGATTGTACTGTATATTCTGTTTCACACCCTATGTAGGTACCCAAGCCTTTTCTATGTAAGCTGCTATTTTTCAGGGGATGTAATGTGACTTGTAAATCCAGGTAACCATATATGGCCATAATAGAATTCTACTATATATAACAAGGATGTTTAAGGGCCTTATCAACTATTCTCCTTTTCTGACTCTTAAAGCAGTGCTTTACAAAATTTTTCACTTCAAAGCATGAACAGAAGACAACATGTGTCTAGCAGTCTGGGGTAAAAGAATGAAGCAATTGACCCAGGGTATGGCTGTTCCAGGCCCCACCCAGCTGTTCAAGGGCTGAGGTGGGAGAGAGAGCAATATATAGGCACACCTGCAAGTTGCCACGACTTGGGGATCCTTCTCTCAGGATGGAGGGAAGAAGCCATGGTTCACAGTGGAGAAAGTAGCTGGATTTTGGAATCAGTTTCTTATCAAAGTAAATAATGCTACAGTATACTCTTGATATTCATGTGGGATATGGATATGGGCATTTTGCCAATGCCCAGATAGCAGTGGTATGTAATATCTCTCGTATAAAATGCAAATTTTGTACAGGCGGGAGCACTCCTTGAAACAACTCCAAAAATCATTGCTTTTTCCTTTCATATAGTATATGATGTAAATGGCAGTGTGTTCAGATCATAGAGGCAAGGCACCCTAAAATGTGACATTCAACTCTGTTAATCTATTTAAAACATCTATTTTCTACACAAGAAGCATTCTTTTTTTAAAATCTCCTCACTTTATTGATATTTATGTAATTAGAATTAGCAGTAGGCTTTCTTCTTTTCAAGGCTTTTTTTTTCCTAATGAAGAAAGTAAGGTAACACTTCAAGAAAATGTCTACATGATTTCCTAGCAAGAACAAGTTTCACAGAGATGGTGATGGGCAGCCAGCTGGGCTCACTCACAAGGTGTGTTTCTTACACTCCCAGATCAGCCTTGCTGCCTATGACATTCAAATTCATGCCTTGGCAAAATTCTAAAGGGTGCATAACATGGATTGAAAATAAAGGGTTGAAAATAAAATATTAAATATGACTACCAATGGTCCACTATATTTTATTCTTTGTAGTTTTTGTTAGAAGAAGAAATAGAGTATGTTTTTATATACCTATATAGTTTAGGAGTATTGTCTACCTCAAAACAAAGACCAGAGGTTGCATTACTCTGAAGGAGGGAAATGGGTTAGATATTTAGAACATGGTATTTGGTGTCAGACTGCCTGGGCTCAAATTTAGTTTTTGATTCTTCTAGCCATATTACTTTAGGCCAGTTACTTTTTCTTGCTGTGCTTTTGTTTTCTTATTTGTAAAATGGAGATAATTAGGAGTATTAAATAATACATGTGAAGCCTGAAAAAGGGGTTGGCACTGGATTGATAACTGTTCATTGTTGTGATAGCTGTTTTTGTTGTTACTTGGTAGTAATATTATTTCTTGTCTCTTCTGCAGTACAAACTGACATACGGAGAATATTGGTGGTGCGTAATTAATCACATTACTTTTCTCTTGACAGGATGCTCCACACCGCTGGGTATGGAAAATGGAAAGATACAAAACAAGCAAATCACAGCTTCCTCATTTAAAAAATCTTGGTGGGGAGATTACTGGGAACCTTTCCGTGCCCGTCTTAATGCCCAGGGCCGTGTGAATGCCTGGCAAGCCAAGGTGAAATATCCCCTATGAATGGAGTTCCCTCAGCCTCCCAGAAGAAAACAAAGGTCCTCACTACAGGGAACATGGCAGGCCTGGGAAGCAAGAGTATCACCTCCTGTTTCTGCAGATTAAGATCCTAGGTCTGAGAATCTAGGATGTCTGTTAACTTGATAGCTTTAGCTCCAATTTGGCTCAGAGAGAAGTTATTTATCATCTCTGTGGTTCTTGGTCTAGCCTTGATTTAGACCAAGATGGGCAAAGTTTTTCTGCAAAGGGCCAAATCATAAATATTTTAGGCTTTGTGGGCCATACATTCTCTGTCAGAACTACTCAACTCAGCCATTGTAGCAGGAAAGAAGCCATAAACAATATGTAAACGAATGAGCATGGCTATGTTCCAATAAAACTTTATTTACAAACACAGGCAGTGGGCCAGATTTGGCCCTTGGGCTATAGTTTCCCAACTCCTGATTGAGACAACTTCCATTAGTGATAAATGATTTAGATTTGCAACATCTTGTCTTCTTCTCCCCCCGCCACAATTTAGTAATATTTTTCATTTTCTTCCGAGTGCCATTTAAATTTTTTTGTTCCCATTTTTCGAAAACTTTATGACATTCCCTTAGACAATTGGAGGCATGGTAAAATGCTGCAAGACCAGGGTTATAAATCAGTGATCTAAGTTTAGTAAACATCTTCCAGAGAGTTATATTGCCCCTGATATTAGCCCATTGAGTAATTCAGATGACTTAGTTTTAGGGTAACTGTTAATAATTGACTCATTTTTCTTTTACTCTTCAACTGACCTGAGAAATCAGAATGGCATTAGATATCAGAATGATCCTGTCAACCAACTCAATCCAAGTTCCCTATTTTCTATCCTCCCAACTTTCTCCCTTAAGATGTCTACACTCCAATTTCTTGGACTCTCTAGAATTCCATGTCCTATTCTTAAATTAGGCCACCAGAAAGGAAAAGGGAAGTGTGGTGCAAGTGGAGTAAATAGAAGAGTTTCGACCCCTTAAGGTAGTAGTGGGAAGTGATGTCTGTGCCCCATTTCTGGCCCATCAAAGAACTACAGAATGTTAGAATGGCAAGGATTTTACATAGCATCTGGCCCAGACTTTTCCCTTTAAGTCTAAACACAAAGGAGATTAAATAATTTTAGCTTAGTCTGGTGGCAGAATCAGGAATCCCATTCTCCCATGAACAGGTCAGTGCTCCTTCCGCCATTTGAAACAACCCAAACACCTCATTTTGCAGTTTTGCAGAGGGGGGAACTGAGACCCAAGGAAGTTAAAATAATAAAAGTAATAATGTTATATTAAATTATATTTATAAAATTTATGTAATATAAATAAAATAATAAAAAGTTAAAGAGAGAAAAGATGTCATCCAATTCTTTCCCAGCTGACCATTTAGACTTGTTCATGGAATAACCTTGTCACACCACCCTCCACTTTACAGCCTTTAAACAAAATTTGCTCTGTATATAATTTGCCCTTAGTCTTCGTGATGTAATAAAGGCTCCAAAGATGAAAGGCTAATTTTAATTTTTAATGCTGTCATTTTAAATCTGGAATTTTGGGTCAAAGCTATTTGTTTCACTTAACCTTCTATTAGTATGAAATGTCTTTATAGGGTCTCTTTAGAGAGGCTGAAAATCTAAGCCAGACATATGCAGGCACTTATGTAGACTGAGTGTCTCTACCTCTTTTGTGCCTACAAAACTCCTCTAGCCATCTATATTCTGTATCACTAGTACAATCTTGATTTGAAGACACACTAAGATACCACCAGATATCACTAGAGGGTGTTAGCAAATTAACAAAAAATTATCTAATACAATAATTTTAATCCAATTAATTTGCTTTAAATATGTATATAGCATGTGACTATATGCATATATATACACATACAGACATGCACATATGAATGTCGTTGAGGAAATATATCAATATTTGTTATTTCATATAGAATTGAATTAGACTATGGGGCATGATAAATCTCCCAAAGGTGACAATTCATCTCAGATTACTTCAAAACTCAATTAGTCCTTCTGATCCTCTTTCTCCAAGTGCATATCACCAAACATCTGATTAGGCATTTTGTTAGGCCAGAAACAGGATAATTACTACACCATACTAAGCCCTAGGCATAGCTTTATTCAGTCTCTCAAGTATTACATTTATTTGAAATATCAGAAAAGAAGAAATTGGACTATTTCTCCTATTTGACCTTAGCAATGGAAAGGAAAGTGGGGCTTTTCTAAAATAAGTTAAATAGAGAGAGGATACTATCCAACTCTGTCCCAGACAATCCTTCAGCAGTGTCATCATAGTATTTAACAAACTTGCTTAAGAGAATATTTCCAGATAATTTAGCAATTTAACATTTTTCTCAAGTAAAATTCATTTATTTATTCATTCATCAATATTTGTTGAACACCACCAACTGTGTGCATGCGTTGTGGCAAGTGCCTAGAAACAAAACTAAGTCAGTCCCTGCTCTCAAAAAGTGAGGGATACAAACAAGTAAACAACTAATTATTGTACAATATGTGAAATACTCCAGTAAAAGTTTATATATGTGCTGTGACAACAAAGAAGAAGGGACAGGGAAGGCTTCTAGGAGACAGGGAATCCTAAAGGATGACAGAGAAAAGAAATCCTTGTGAGCTCTGTGCATTTCTAAAAAAGCGAAAGTTTTAACATCTGTTTTATCCATGTGTTCTTATCATTTTTATAGGCAAACAACAACCAACAGTGGTTACAAATTGATCTGCTCAAAATCAAGAAGATAACTGCGATTGTAACACAGGGTTGCAAGTCTCTGTCCTCTGAAATGTATGTGAAGAGCTACAGCATCCACTACAGTGACCAGGGAGTGGAATGGAAACCTTACAGGCAGAAATCCTCAATGGTGGACAAGGTACAGGGTGGTATCTTGGCAAAAAGAAAGCAATTTGAAAACTCGGCTATAATGAGAATAGTACCTTGCATTTGCAAATAGCTCTTTGCATTTGACAAATATGCACTGACATGCACCATCTCTTTAAGTCTTCTAAATCCTGCCTCTGCAGTTACCTGCTCTTGGACAGGGACCATGCACATTATCTTTCTGCTTTGACTGAGCCACCTGTGAAACAGAACAAAACACCAGGGGATGGTGTGAGGCTTAATTAGCTCCAATTGAGAAAGATGGTGAAGGGGTTGTCTCAGTCTTCTTGGGCTGCTGTAACAAATGACCATAAGGCCAGCCCCGCGGCTTAGCGGTTAAGTGTTCACGCTCCGCTGCTGGCGGCCCGGGTTCAGATCCTGGGCGCACACCAACACACTGCTTCTCTGGCCATGCTGAGGCCACGTCCCACGTACAGCAACTAGAAGGATGTGCAGCTATAACATACAACTATCCACTGGGGCTTTGAGGGGGAAATAAATAAATAAAATCTTTAAAAAAAAAAACAAAAAACAAATGACCATAGACTGAGTGACTTAAACAATAAACATTTCTCACAATGCTGGAGGCTGGAGTCCTAGATCAGGGTACCAGCATAGTCGAGTTCTTGGCGAGGGCCCTCTTCCTGGCTATGTCCTCGTATGGCCTTCATAGTGCATGCACACACAAAGAGCGATGCCATGTCTCCTTCTCTTTTTGTAAGTGTATTAATCTCATCATGAGGGCCCTACCCGCATGACCTAATCTAATCCTAATTACCTCCCAAAGCCCCATCTCCTAATACCATCTCACTGGGGGTTAGGGTTTCAACAAATGAATTTTGGGAGCACACAAACATGCAGTCCGTAACAAGGGTCTAGAAAACCTTCCACCATATTAGCGTTGCCTTGGATATACTTGTTATTCATGACTGATCAAATACCCCTGGCCATAAAACTTTCAGTGTCATATTATTATTAAGCAGAAAACAATTGTTATCCTTACTGATGAGACTAATTTCCTGGAAGTTGAACTACTCCATTACACTCCTAAATTCCTAGTTATGTGTTTGTAAAATGCTACCACAGAGGCAACACTAAGGAGATGAGCCTAATATTCCAGGAATGGGAATAGGAATGAAGCCAGTGGGAAGGGCAACGCAGGAGAAGGGGATGGACATTTATTGAATCCTCATCGTGGGCTCAGCGCTTATCTCAGTTAATGAATTTGAACCTCTCTCTCTTTTTAAACCCCTGGGTTGGTTGTTTCTTTGGTCTGGTTTGTTTTATTTCTCACTGTACTAGGACGTCCTCAGAGCAGGGTAGGCATCATTGTTATAAACAAATAGTGATTTAGCTTCTGCTGTGTGTAAATCTTGGGGAACTTGCTGGGGATGAAAAAAAAAAAGGCATAAAACACAGTTTAGTTGATGATATAGGGCATATACCAAAAAGGGAAAACAAAAGTGCATGGTTGCATTTTATTTTAAATGTTAGTAATAGTTAACCATTTATTGGTGTCCACTATCTGGCACTTACTAAGCACTTGTCATATGTTTACAGACTTTTTTAACCTTTACGACAACTTCCATGAGGTAAAATTTTATTGTCCTTATTTTGCCAATGAGGAAATGGAGAATCAGAGAATATAAGTAACTTGCTCAAAGTCACACAGCTACAAAGGGGCAAAGGGCAGACTCGGTTTTGCAGCTGCTCCACAGCACCATGTCAGATTGCTTTATTTTTCCCTAATGCAACTCAGATCACTGGTGAGGTAAAATCCTTAAAGAGGTCTGTCTGGAGTGTGATTCCATAACTGATTGAAGATCATCTCTGTGATAATGTTGTATGTGTTCCTTGATGCCCTCAGTTTGAACTAAAAGGATAAAAAAATTATCTGTAAGATTTTCATACCCATTATACCATCATTAAAGATTTTCTCGTATTTTGCTTTCAGATTTTTGAAGGAAACAATAATATCAAAGGACACATGAAGAACTTTTTCAAGCCACCAATCATTTCCAGGTTTATCCGAATCATTCCTAAAACATGGAATCAAAGTATTGCACTTCGCCTGGAACTCTTTGGCTGTGATATTTACTAGAATTGAACATTCAAAAAGACAGAGGGACTCTTAAAGATATCAAACCATTTAGAGTGGGGGGCAATGTATTTTGTAGCTATTTTAAATATTAATAATTTTCCACTATTTCCCTTTTTTTGTATTAGAGAATAAAATCTTATATATGAAACTTTTATGATGTAACTGCTTGCTACTATTAAGCTAGATGATTATTATTTCTGCATTAATTTAAATATAAATGGGAAAATATCAAGAACCAACAAGAAAATGGCTTATCTTTCACAATGATTAAAAATGCTATATAGGGGCCAGCCCCACGGCTTAGCGGTTAAGTGCGCGCACTCTGCTACTGGCGGCCCGGGTTTGGATCCCGGGTGTGCACCGACACACAGCTTGTCCGGCCATGCTGAGGTGGCATCCCACATACAGCAACTAAGAAGGATGTGCAGCTATGACATACAACTATCTACTGGGGCTTTGGGGAGAAAAAGGAAAAAAAAAGAGGAGGATTGGCATGGATGTTCGCTCAGGGCTGATCTTCCTCACACACACAAAAAATGCTATATAAAGTAATATTTGTGCAGTTAACATGCTTCATTATAGTTCTTTTAAATCCTATACACATTAATAAGAGATATTACTTTTTTAAGCCATTTATAGACCTGGATAGCTTTCACTCCTACATTTTTCTTTAAAAGAGATATGATTTAATAGTCTATATTAATAGTCTATATTAATATAGGTTAATAAGGAAATAAACAAGATTTTTAAATCATTCATTTTTCTTGACATGGAGAAAAAAACAATCTTACCATATGAAATGACCAATGCTTAAAATACCCTGTCTTACCTACATGACAATGGTTTTTCTGACCCTTCATGAGTAAAGATACAATTAGCACATTTTCAGTAGTCCTGTTGGACTTGTGAATCTGGCTCGGTCTCCCTTGGAACTGATTGCACATATTGATGTTCAATGTTAGGGTCATTAGACATGCAACAGAACCAAAATAACCTTCGGAGAACTGAATGGGTAACCTTGGCTTCATTCTAGCTGACACCATATGGCGCACTGATTCAAAACATAGGTTCACCTAAGGGAAGGCTAATACCTGTAAAGCAGAGCATTGGAACTCTTGGCCCAAATGCAGCTGTTCCTGCTAGAACAGGCCCCTGGCCAAACTGGCAAGCAGTTGAAGTTCTCTTTCAGCGTCCTTCTCTCTATGGCCCCAAGCTCCTCCTCTCCGTTCCTCAGCAACTTCCCCTTTCAGCACTCCGTTCCCTGGAAACTTGGCATCCAGCGATCCTATAGACATTGTGAGTATAGGGAGTCTTCTGGCATCCTTTAAGTCACATGGAATAAACAGTCATTGGTGAGGCACTCTATTTTTGTGGAAAAAACCACCCCAAAACTTAGTGTTTAAAACAACAACAAATTTATTCTCTCTGGTGTTTCTGTGGGTTGACTGGTCTCAGCTGGGCGGTTTTACTGCTGGCTTCATTTGGGGTCTCTAGTGAGGTTACAGTCAAACAAAGGCTGTAGCCAGAGGCATCAAGAGGCTCAACTGAATGTTGGGACACCTGGGCCCCTCTCCCTCTCCAAGTAGTTGCAGGTTCTCTCCTCATTACATGGCTTCCAACGTGGTCTGTCCATTTTGGTGTCTCCAAAAGGGCAGCTGGATGTCTTGTAGGGTGGTTCAGGCTCCCAAAAGCAAGTATTCAGGAGGTAGGTAGCAGAAGCTACCAGTCCTTTTAAGGCTAGGCCCAGAACTGGCACAGTCAGTTCTGCTGTGTTCTATGGGTTAACACAAGTCACAGGCCAGCCTAGATTCCATGTAGGATGAAACTACACAAGAGTGTGCATAACAGGAGGCATAATTCATTGGGAGCATCTTTAGATACTAACTACCAGAGTTACCTCTTGCACCTATGGGTGGAGTGAGCCCTGTGAATGCATACAGGAGCTTCAAACATCCACAAAACATTGGTTTCCTTTTTTTTGTTTTAAATTTTTTCAGCTTTTTTGAGGTATAACTGAAAAATAAAATGGAAATATATTTAAAATGTACAACATGATGATTTGATATAGGTATACATTGTGAAAGGATTCCCACAATCAAGTTAATTAACACATCCAGCTCCTCACAGAGTTACCTTTTTTTTTGGTGAGAACGCTTAAGATCTACACTCTCAGCAAATTTCATTTATACAATATTATCAACTTAGTCACCATGCTATACTAACAATCCTCATAACTTATTCATCTTATAACTGAAAGTTTGTACCCTTTATCAACCTCTCCCCATATCCCCTACCCACCAGCCCTAGGCAACCACTATTCTACTCTGTTTCTGAGTTTGACTTTTTTTTTTTTAAGATTCCATGCATAAGTAATACCATGCAGTACTTGTCTTTTTCTGTCTAGCTTATTTCACTTAGCATAATACCCTCCAGATTCATCCATGTTGTCACAAATAGCAGGATTTCTTTCTTTTTTAATGACGAATAATAGTCCACTGTATATATAGACCACATCTTCTTTATCCATTCATCCATCCACAGACACTTAGATTGTTTCCACATCTTGGCTATTGTGAATAATGCTGCAATGAACATGGGAGTGCAGATATCTCTTCTCCCTAGTGATTTCATTTCCTTTGGATACATATCCAGAAGTAGGACTGCTGGATCATATAGTAGTTCTATTTTTAATATTTGAGGAACCTGCGTACTGTTTTCCATAGTGGCTGTGCCAGTTTACATTCCAACCAACAGTGCACAAGTGTTCTTTTTACTCCGCATCTCACCAGCATTTGTTGTCTCTTGATAATAGCCATCCTAAAAGGTATTAAGGTGCTATTTCATTATGGTTTTGATATGCATTTCCCTGATGACTAGTGATATTGAGCATCTTTTCCTATACCTAATAGCCATTTATATATCTTCTGTGGAAAAATGTCTATTCCGGTCCTTTGCCCATTTTTTAATCGGGTTATTTGGGTTTTTTTTTTTTAAGTTTATTTTATTTTATTTTATTTACTTATTTTTTTGTGAGGAAGATCAGCCCTGAGCTAATATCCATGCCAATCCTCCTCCTTTTCTCCTCCAAAGCCCCAGTAGATAGTTGTACGTCATAGCTGCACATCCTTCTAGCTGCTGTATGTGGGACGCAGCCTCAGCATGGCCAGAGAAGCAGTGCGACAGTGCGCGCCTGGGATCCGAACCCGGGCCGCCAGTAGCGGAGCGCACGCACTCAACTGCTAAGCCACGGGGCCGGCCCATGGGGGTTTTTTTGTTTTGCTATAGAGTTTTATGAATTCCTTATATATTTTTTATATGAATCCCCTGTGGAATATGTAGTTTGCAAATATTTTCTCCCACTTCATATGTTGTTGCCTTTCCATTTTGTTGATGGTTCCCTTTGCTGTACAGAAGCTTTTAGTTTGACATAGTCCCTCTTGTTTGTTTTTACTTTTGTTGCCTGAGCTTTTGGTGTCATATCCAAAAAATCATTTTCAGGAACAATGTCAAGGAGCTATCCCATATGTTTTATTCTAGGGGTTTTATGATTTCAGATTTTACACTCAAGTCTTTAACACATTTTGAGTTGAATTTTGTGTATGGTATAAGATAGAAGTTCCAATTTCATTCTTTTGCTTGTAGGTACCGACTTTTCCCAACACCATTTATTGAAGAGACTATCCTTTCTCAATTGTGTATTTTTGGTGCCTTTGTCAAAAATTAATTGACCATATATGTATGGGCTTATTTCTGAGCTCTTGATTCTGTTCCATTGGTCTATGTGTCTGTTTTTATGCCAATACCATACTATTTTGATTACTATAGCTTTATAATATAGTTGAAATCAGGAAGTGTGATGCCTCCACCTTTGCTCTTCTTGTTCAAGATTGCTTTAGCTATTCTTTTGTGGTTCCACAGGAATTTTAGTATTGCTTTTTCTATTTCTGTGAAAAATGCTGTTGAAATTTTGATAGGGATTGCATTGACTCTGTAGATCATTTTGGGTAGTATGGACATTTTAACAATATAAATTCTTGCAATCCATGACACGAAATATCTTTTCATTTAATTGTGTCTTCAATTTCTTTCATTAATGTTTTATGGTTTCCAGTGTACAGATCTTTCACTTCCTTGGATGAATTTATTCCTAAGTATTTTATTCATTCTTTTTGATTCTGTTGTACACAGGATTGTTTTCTTACTTTCTCTTTCCAATAGTTCATTGTTAGTGTATAGAAACACAACTGATTTTTGTATATTGATTTTGTATCCTGCAACTTTACTGAATTAATTTATTAGTTCCAACAGTTTTTTTGGTTTGAGTCTTCAGAATTTTCTACATATCATCTTCAAATAATGACAATTTTACTTCTTTCTTTCTGATTTGGTGCCTTTTATTTCTTTTTCTTGCCTAATTTCTCTGGCTAGAACTTCCAGTACTATATTGAATAGAAGTAGTGAAAGTGGGCATTCTTTTCTTATTCTTGATCTTAGAGAAAAGCTCTCAGCTTTTCACCATCGAGTATGATGTTACTTGTGGGCTTGTCATATATAGTCAGTATTATGTTAAGGTACGTTCCATCTATACTTACCTTGTCGAGAGTTTTTATCATGAAAGAATATTGAATTTTGTCAAATGCTTTTTCTGCATCTATTGAGATGACCATATGATTTCTTATCATTCATTTTGTTATAGTGTATTACAGTTATTGATTTGCATATGTTGAACCATCCTTGAATCCCAGAGATAAATCCCACTTGATCATGGTGTATGATCCTTTTAATGTGCTGTTGAATTTGGTTTGCTAAAATTTTGGTATTTTTGCGTCTATGTTTACCAAAGATATTGGCTTGCAATTGTCTTTTCTTGTAGTGTCCTCAACTGGCTTTGGTATGAAAGCAATGCTGGCCTTCTAAAATGAGTTTGGGAATGTTCCCTCTTTATTTTTTGGAAGAGTTTGAGAAGGATTATTGGTCTTAATTCTTCCTTAAATATTTGGTAGAATCAACCATGAAGCCATCTGGTCCTGGGCTCTTCTTTGTTGGAACGTTTTTGACTACTACTTCAATCTCTGTACTCATTCTTGATCTGTTCAGATTTTCTATTTTTTCATGATTCAGTCTTGGTAGTTGTATATTTCTAGGAATTTAC